AATTAACTTTGACTATTCAGAAATTATTTTGATTAGTCGAATCAATATTTATATTAAAATTTGTTCACCTTTATGAGCTAGATTTGTGAAATATTATGCTATGCTAAATTTGCATTAAAGACTAAAACTACGGGCCGGCAACGCGGACAAATCCGAGGAGAAATGTGACAAAAATCGTCAAAATAACGAATTTCGAGAGGTACCGTTATATGGGGACTATACCAAAACGTGGACCATTTTCAATACCAACCATCCTATACACAGTACAAATTGTTCTGCTAAATTTTGAAGCTCTACGTCAAACAATGTGGACTGTATCGTAATTTAAATAAACAGACATACAGACGGAGTCTATGACGAACATTTAGGGATGTTACAAACGGAATGAAAAAGTTAATATACCCTCCTTTCCAAGGTGGGGGATATAATAAGCATTAAAGACTAAAATTACGGGCCGGCAACGCGGACCGGGCCAGCTAGTATATATATATATATAAAATTTCATTTTTTAATGACAATTTTTAAACTGTTTTCCATTATACTTATTTGTAAGTACAATTGCAATTGGCGCATACAAACCTTTAATCCATATATTAAAATAACATTGTATCCGGACTTAGATTTATATGCTGACCATGAATACATATATTTCATGCGTCTCCGAGAAATATTTAAACGATGGAAATGTTTGAAAATTAAAAGAAAAAGTAACGCTAATTTAGGCCCGCCCGAACTATTGATACCCTCCACCATGAGGTAAAGAAAACTATTATAAATAAATGCATTGTTCTTCTATGTTCGAACAAGATCCATCCTCAACTGCAAATGGCAGTGACATCTCTTGAAGAATGAAATTAGGGTTTTCGTGAAGTGGCCGGTACCGTTATATTGGAGCTATAAAAACGCTAGCCTACATAGAGAACTTTCTACTTCGAGTTACAAAATACCAAGTGTGCCGAAAATCATCAAAAGACCAAATATTGGGAGGTACCGAGATATAAGTACTAAAGGCCGCAGAACGTAGAACCTACTACACACACTCTAAGTAGCAGCACAATACCGAAAGTCGGGAGATACCACAAATTTATTTGGGTTATATGAAACAAGGACATACAAAGACTGCTTTACATGCTGCTATATATTTAAAAGTTGACCTATGTGGTCCATTTGCGACTCTGACCTGCCTACTGACAAACCATATTGTATTTGATTTTTACACTGTATTGTTAAAATTATTTTTATACCGTCAATACTACGTATCGTTATATTATATTGTCTTTTCAGTAGATTATCATTTTTATCATTGTATTATGACTCCGTTTCTAACTCATCGAAAGAATCAATTAAGACCCAACAAAGAACATATATTTTTGATCAGCATAACCCTGTTCGCCTCTCTGTTGCCCTCATATATCTCCCCATATGAATGTACCTCCCCATATTTGGTATCTTGAAGATTTTAGCTGCATTTTCAAAAGAAATAAATTAAAACTCGGTATGAAGTTTCATAATGGGTTCTACTCCGATGGCAGAGCATTGTTATATAGGTGCAAGTCTTCATATAGATTCCATATGACGATACTTAACCATATTCGGTGTTTTGATGGTTTTAGCTTCAGTTTAAAACGTAATGGTTTACAATTCGGTATTTACATTTCGTAATGGGTAGTACTGTAGCGGAATATTGTCTGTATAGTTACACGTATTCTTGAAGCCCTCAAACGGTTCTTATGACTTTAAATTTTCTTTCAAATGGATGTGTTTCAATTAATGTGTTTGTTATTCGGAAAGCGTACCATCCCCTGTAGTAGAAAATTGTCTGTGTAGGCCCATGTTATATATATATATATATATATATATATATATATATATATTTTAAATCTGGATACAATGTTATTTTAATATATGGATTAAAGGTTTGTATGCGCCAATTGCAATTGTACTTACCATTTAGTATAATGGAAAACAGCTTAAAAATTTTCATTAAAAAATGAAATGTATATATATATATATATATATATATATATATATATATATATCTATATATATATATATATATACACATATATATAGATATATATATATATGTGTTATTTTAAATCTGGATACAATGTTATTTTAATATCTGGATTAAAGGTTTGTATGCGCCAATTGCAATTGTACTTACCATTTAGTATAATGGAAAACAGCTTAAAAATTTTCATTAAAAAATGAAATGTTATTTACTCCGGTAAAACAGTTTAAAAATATTCAATGAAATGATTTGCTATATTCTCTGGCTGAAATAATATATGTATATATATATATATATATATATATATATATATATATATATATATATATATGTATATATATATATATATATATATATATATATATATATATATATATATATATATATATATATATATATATATATAAATATATATATATATATATATATATATATATATATATATATATATATATATATATATATATATATATATTTATATATATATTAATATATATATTATTTTCTGCCACGTGACCATTTGGAATTGGAACGATTTTCGATAATCAGCTCAGCCGTTCTCTAAGCCAGAGAATATAGCAAATCATTTCATTGAATATTTTTAAACTGTTTTACCGGAGTAAATAACATTTCATTTTTTAATGAAAATTTTTAAGCTCTTTTCCATTATACTAAATGGTAAGTACAATTGCAATTGGCGCATACAAACCTTTAATCCAGATATTAAAATAACATTGTATCCAGATTTAAAATAACACATATATATATATATATATATATATATATATATATATATATATATATATATATATATATATATATATATATATATAAATATATATATATATATATAAATATATATAAATTTTCATTTTTTAATGACAATTTTTAAACTGTTTTCCATTATACTTATTTGTAAGTACAATTGCAATTGGCGCATACAAACCTTTAATCCATATATTAAAATAACATTGTATCCAGATTTAAAATAACATATATATATATATATATATATATATATCTATATATATATATATATGTATATATATATATATATATATATATATATATATATATATATATATATATATATATATATATATATATATATATATATATATATATATATATATATATATATATGGGGACGTTGCAAATTCTATGTGATCTAAATCTTCAAAATACCGAATATCGGGATGTACCGTTTTATGGGGGTTATGCTTCAACATGGGCCTACACAGACAATTTTCTACTACAGGGGATGGTACGCTTTCCGAATAACAAACACATTAATTGAAACACATCCATTTGAAAGAAAATTTAAAGTCATAAGAACCGTTTGAGGGCTTCAAGAATACGTGTAACTATACAGACAATATTCCGCTACAGTACTACCCATTACGAAATGTAAATACCGAATTGTAAACCATTACGTTTTAAACTGAAGCTAAAACCATCAAAACACCGAATATGGTTAAGTATCGTCATATGGAATCTATAGGAAGACTTGCACCTATATAACAATGCTCTGCCATCGGAGTAGATCCCATTATGAAACTTAATACCGAGTTTTAATTTATTTCTTTTGAAAATGCAGCTAAAATCTTCAAGATACCAAATATGGGGAGGTACATTCATATGGGGAGATATATGAGGGCAACAGAGAGGCGAACAGGGTTATGCTGATCTAAAATATATGTTCTTTGTTGGGTCTTAATTGATTCTTTCGATGAGTTAGAAACGGAGTCATAATACAATGATAAAAATGATAATCTACTGAAAAGACAATATAATATAACGATACGTAGTATTGACGGTATAAAAATAATTTTAACAATACAGTGTAAAAATCAAATACAATATGGTTTGTCAGTAGGCAGGTCAGAGTCGCAAATGGACCACATAGGTCAACTTTTAAATATATAGCAGCATGTAAAGCAGTCTTTGTATGTCCTTGTTTCATATAACCCAATTAAATTTGTGGTATCTCCCGACTTTCGGTATTGTGCTGCTACTTAGAGTGTGTGTAGTAGGTTCTACGTTCTGCGGCCTTTAGTACTTATATCTCGGTACCTCCCAATATTTGGTCTTTTGATGATTTTCGGCACACTTGGTATTTTGTAACTCGAAGTAGAAAGTTCTCTATGTAGGCTAGCGTTTTTTATAGCTCCAATATAACGGTACCGGCCACTTCACGAAAACCCTAATTTCATTCTTCAAGAGATGTCACTGCCATTTGCAGTTGAGGATGGATCTTGTTCGAACATAGAAGAACAATGCATTTATTTATAATAGTTTTCTTTACCTCATGGTGGAGGGTATCAATAGTTCGGGCGGGCCTAAATTAGCGTTACTTTTTCTTTTAATTTTCAAACATTTCCATCGTTTAAATATTTCTCGGAGACGCATGAAATATATGTATTCATGGTCAGCATATAAATCTAAGTCGATTTAACGATGTTCGTCTGTCTGCCTGCCTGTCTATTGAAATCAAGATGCAGCTCACATTATTTTAGGTATTTTTTTTTTTTTTACTTTTTTCTTATTTTTGTTTGTCCATCCATTACAATGACATAAGTAACCTGACTGTATCTCCTCTGTAACAAGAGAAAAGACCAAAACGTGTAGAGATTGGTGACAGCTTTGATTTTATCGGAATTCATATATTGGTTGTCACATATTCTAATATAATCTGTGTTTCTTTGTGAATTCCGACATCGCAAGAATATACGCCTAATGGAAAATACATTGCCTTTTTAGTCCTCGCAAATCTTAACAAACGTAATCAAAATAAGATTTTTTGTAAATTATAATTATTTAATATAACCTATCAAAGTTTTGATTGCTCGGAAAAATAATCTAAAATATATAATTAATAAATGTAATAATACAAATTCAAATAATTAATTTCAAAATTTATCAGTAATTTAAATATTTATATAAAATATAGCACAATATTAAATGTCCACATAATATGACATTTCAGAGACAAGGAATCAGCGGAACATCTTTTCAAAGAAAACGGATTCGAAGTTATTGACACTGAGCAAGATCTAACTGAAGGAACTCTTAAGTGGGACAATGTATGCCCCCTATTTTTATCCTGCATACCACTAGACAGAAACATTTTTGCGAAATCTCAACTTGTCCTTAAGAATTTCTTCATAATACAGGTAAGTTCGAATTTATTATCCAATTTATATGTATTTTTGGAATTGTATTATGCGAATTATTGCAAAGTAGTTTGATATAACCAACCATCTTTGTTGTTTAGGCCTGTTTTTTCGTTCAAATTGTTTGGCTTCTAGATGATTTTGCAAGCAACTTTTAGTTAGTTCATAAATGCATTATTCTACAACTAACTACAAATTGATTGAAAAGTCATCTGGAGATCAACCACTACTGGTTGATATTCAAATGACCTTTCAACCAATTTGTAGTTAGTTGTAGAATAATGGATTTATAACTAACGATTTTCCCAATTGGTTGAAAAAAGTGCCGCTGGGATATTAGTGCTGTATGCTTGTGGTTGAGTGACTTTGTAATAGGTAGGCAGTAACCACCCACACTGTGTTTAAAAAAAAATAGTTTTTTAAGCCTCTTCTGGCCAAAATTATAAAATACTTTTCTTCAAAAAATTTTAAGTTTTCTTAAAAGTTTTAACGATACTGTTGGAAATTAACTGTTTCTGTATTAAATAATAATTTTCGTTATTATTATATATTATTAATAAATATATTTAATATTTTATTTTTGTTTTTAAATATTTCTTTAAATTTTGTTGTTCTTTTTGGAAAAATATTTATTATTTTGAACCGTAGCGTGCATCTTACAGTCCGTGCACCCTACAGTCGGTAATAAATATTGATTTTCCGATCTTTCAAATTCATTTTTTCTATTTGGCTGAATTCCACTTGATTTCTTTATCAGAGCAACTGATGCTCTGGTAAAATTTGAAGCCAACTTTACTTCTCTTCGAGAGGAAGAGATGGACATATATTTCCTTGATGTTAAGGCCTCTGAGGCAAGGGAATTGAGGAGAAAAGTGAAGGAAATGTTTGAACAACGTCTTACATATCTCCAAATTTCTGAAGATACTGAAAGAGAAGACATCACACCTGCAGAAAGTAAATATGACGTTGCGTATAAGGCATATGTAAACGTCATTGCTTAAATAAATCGAAAATTGGACCAACTACGTGCCTTACAGAAAAATTCTAATCCTTCGTTGGTTCAAAGTTTGAATAGTACTCACCGTTCGAATTCACATGTTTCCGTATAGATGTTCATGGGTTAATGTGACTAGCACTCCTCGAGTTGATTCTCCCCCTCATGCAGAACTTTTATCTCTGTCTGGCGTATCGCGCCATACAGGACCGTCAGTTGAAGTTTTCGCTTCAAATTACATTGTAATGCATAGTCTGAATCTACCACCATGTGATATAGATGAATATGACTTAGTAATATTAAAAAAATTTGCTATTTAATAAAGAAAACTACTGGGAAAGCAAAAGACATTATTTCAAAGTTTCCGCTGACACACACAAGTTTCACTTTAGCGTGGCAGGACTTAAAACGTCTGAATCTTGGTTAACAACCAAACTGCTCTTTGAAAAATTTGAAAAATTTACAACGAGCATTTAATGAATGTATTTCGGCTATGGCGATCTATGACGTTTTTACGAATGACTGGGATCCCATATTAGTCTTCATATGCATCCAAAGATTGCCTAAGCATGCGGTCTAGCTTTGGGACGGAAAGGATCCAGAACCTTACTTGTCTCCGAGACATTCGTGGTATTGACTCATCAAAAAGGGTTGAGAAAAAAATGCAGACTCACTTAACAAAGTCCACATCGTCTGTGTTTTCTAGCGCTTCTTCATTTAAATCTTGGGTTCTCTGTCCTAAATTGGTCCATCCATTGCGTTTTTGTCCAGAGTTCAAAAAATTATCCATTTAATGTCGTTTTTCAGTGTTCAAACGCATCAATTGTCAAATCACACAAATTCTAGACCAGCAGCGACTCTGTCGCCATCAACTTCTAACTAATCCAACAATGCGAATCCAAATATTCCCTCGACTTCGCCAGGTATATCCCACTCTATCAATAGGCAAGTGTATCATATTTCGCTAAACAAAAATGTTGTTTTAGCTACTGCAATGGTGAATCTAATTCACAAAGTCATCACATACCCTGCTCGTGCCCTAAACGAACCAGCTTCTGAAGCGTCTTTCATCACTGAAAATTTGCAACGTCGTCTTGGTATTTCTACTGCGTCGACCCAAGCTACGATTTCTGGCGTTAACCAACGTGTTTTCACTACTTCCAGAAAATTGTGCTCATTATGCATAGGTTCTCCTATCAACTCATCAATTTTCTTTAAAATTCCAGCTCTAGTGGTTCCCAATATTTCCGGTAATTTACCCTCTATTTCAATAGGTGGTGACATAATTTCCCGTTTGTCAAATATTCGTTTGGCAGATAAAACTTCTGCGATTCTACACCAGTTGACCTTCTACTAGGCGCTGATTTATATCTCAGAATCATTTTACAGAGAGGTTCTTTAATGGCGCAAAGAACAGTTTTCGGCTGGATCATTACTGATCCCATTCCCAATTCTACCATTACGGTTTTAACAACCACAATAAACTTTCCGGAAGAAGATCTTAACAAGACATTTCTTCAATTTTGTCCTTCGGACAAATTTTGTGAGGAAATCAAAAAAACGACTCGACTGGACTCAGCAGGCAGATATATTGTCACACTAACCATCATTCCTGAATTCGCAGGCCAACTTCGTAATTCTAGGACCAATTGCTTACGACAATTCTTTCGAAATGATGCTTCACTCCTAAGAAAACCGCAAATAAAAACCATTTACCATGGGGTGGTCAGGAAATATTTAGAATTAGACCACATGCGACAGGTTTCGACTTCATCAGTAAGCTCTACAGTTTGCTACCATTCTCGCCATTCGGTTATTAATCCGGATAAACAAACAACAAAATTGGGAGTGGTTTTCAATGCCTCAAACAAGACTTCCAATGGGAGTAGTCTTTACGATATTCTCTATGTCGGACCTCTTAACTCTCTTCTCCAACGAACTTTATTTCGGGATTCTCCCAACAAACCGGTTCAAGACTTTGAACTTCAAACGGTAACCTTCGAAATAAACTGTGCTCATTATCTGCCGATTCGGACTTTTCTTCAATTGGCCGATGACAAAGAAAAAAATTTCCGCTAGCTGCACATACCCTTCGGATGTGCATCTACGTAGATGACGTCTTGTCCGGGTATCACGATTTGGAGACGGCGCAAAAATCAAGAGACCAACTTATTGGTGCTCTTTCTTCCGCGAAGTTTAAACTTCATAAATGGACAGCCAATAACCGCGATATTTTAGATTCTCTTCCCTTCGATCACCTATACGATGCTAACCTTCTCACTTTCGTGGAAGCTAGTAGTTCAAAACCGCTGGGCATTCGCTGGAGAGCACAGTTGTAAATTGTAAAATTACAAAGGGGTATGTCTGTGTCTTCATGTGCTTTTCTGAGAAAGTACATTTAGAGCTAGTCTCGGACTTATCTACCACCACCTTCCTAGCTGCATTTCATAGATTTATATCTTGTCTTAGATGTCAAAAGACTATCTTCTCGGACAATGGCACTAACTTCGTTGGTGCATCTCGGGAGGTAGAATGTGAATTTAAGCAGACGTTAGATGAAATTTGTAATAAGCTACGATCAAAGTTTTCATATGAAGAGCTTACATGGAGATTCAACCCAGCTGGAGCTCCACATGTGGGTGGACTTTGGGAAACTGAGTTAAAAACTTCAAAAATCATTTTAGAACATGTCAGCGAATCTTTACAACTTGCTGTATCTAAAAATGTTCCTCAAACAGAGACATGAGATGATCATGGAATTTATCGGAATTTATGATTTGGATATAAATGTTTGATTTTGCCCATAACAAACTTTTTATCTGTATTAGACATATGTAGGCGTTGATGGAATAATTGTGTGTCCATTGTGTAATGCTTTTACTAATATCCTCCTCCATAAACTTCAAAATGAATGACTTTGAAGACTTTCTCTAGAAAAATATAATTATTTTCCTATTTTTCTTTCCAAAAAATGAAAAACTTGAATAAAAGGTACAACCTTTTAAATCTGCAAACAAACTGTCAAGCTGAAAAATTGTGCATTTTGAGTAATAAAAACACATTAAGTTCGGCCGGGCCAAACTTTTAATATCCTCCACCTAAGGGTAAAGGAAACATTAGAGCCCATTATGACCCACATATACCAATTTTAGACATATTCATGGGAAAATGTGCCAAAATATGGGGCTATACAAAAACGTGGACCTATACATACAGTGTTTCGCCAAAACAGCTAGAACCCATTAAGAACAACAAATACCAATTTCTAGACAAATCCGCGGAGAAATGTTGCACAAACCATTAAAATGCCGAATATCGGGAGGTACCGTTATATAGGGGCTATACCAAATCGTGGACCTATACATGCAATGTTCCGCCAAAGGAGCTAGAGCCCATTATGACCTACAACTACCAATTTTCAGATAAATCCGTGAAAAAATGTGGGAATAATTATCAAATTACCGAAAATCGGTAGGTACGTAATATGGGTACTATACCAAAACGTGGACCCTTACATACAATGTTTCGTCACCGTAGATGGAACCCATTATGACCAACAAATACCAAGTTTTAGACAAAAATGTGGAAAAAATAATCAAAATACCGAATATCGAATGCACCTTTATATGGGGGCTATACCAAAGCGTAGACCTATACACGCAATGTTTTGCCACACGAACTGGGACACGTTATGACCTACAAATACCATTCAGACAAATCCGTAAAAAGAGGGATAAATCATCAAAATACCGAATATCGGGAGGTACCATTATGTGGGGAATATACCATTTTCAATACCAACCATCCTAGACACAATACAAATTGCTCTGCTAAATTTTGGCACTCTACGTCAAATAATGTGGGCTGCATCGTGATTTCAACAGACAGACAGATGGACATCCTTAAATCGACTTTGAATTTTATGCTGATTATGAATATATATACTTTATGGGGTCTACGACGAATATTTAATGATGTTACAAACGGAATGACAATGTTAATATAC